TTAGTAGAGATGGGGTTTCACCATGTTGACCAGGATGGTCTCGATCTCTTGACCTCATGATCCACCCGCCTCGGCCTCCCAAAGTGCTGGGATTACAGGCTTGAGCCACTGCGCCCAGCCATTTTAGTATTTTTAGTAGAAACAAGGTTTAACCATTTTAGCCAGGCTGGTCTCGAACTCCTGACTTCAGGTGATCTGCCTGCCTTGGCCTCCCAAAGTGCTGGGATTATAAGCATGAGCCAGTGCGTCTGGCCTATTTTTTTTTTTTTTTTTTGAGACAGTCTCACTCTGTTACCCAGGCTGGAGTGCAGTGGTGTGATCTTGGCTCACTGCAACCTCCACCTCCCAGGTTCAAGTGATTGCCAGCTTCCTGAGTAGCTGGAATTACAGGCATGTGCCGCCACACCAGCTAGGTTTTGTTTCTTTGTTGTTTTATTTTTAGTAGAGACAGGGTTTCACCATGTTGGCCAAGCTGGTCTCGAACTCCTAGCCCCAAGTGATCCTCCTGCCGCAGCCTCCCAAAGTGCTGGCATTATAGGTGTGAGCCTCTGTCCTCAGCCAAATTTACTATGTTTAACAAAGCATCTGTTATCTTGGTATTTCTTTTTCAATATGATTTTTGGTCGTGTAATATGGCTTAGTTTTTACGCACTAGTGTTAGGCTATTTAGTCATACTATTTGTCCATAATCATTATCAAAATTAACACTGTTAGTACTGGAGGAACTAATCCAGGGATTTAGAAGAATTATCTACACTATTGCTAAATTAATAATAGGGGCTGGGTGCAGTGGCTCACGCCTGTAATCCCAGCATTTTCGGAGGCTGAGGCGGGTTAGGAGGATCACTTGAGCCTACAAGTTTAAGATCAACCTTGGCAACATAGTGAGACCCAGTCTCTACAAAATAAAATATTAGCTGGGCGTGATATCATGTGCCTATAGTTTCAGCTACTCAGGAGGCTCAGGTGGGAGGATAGATTCAGCTCAGGAGGTCGAGTCTGCAGTAAGGAGTGGCACACCACATCACTCCAGCCTGGGCGACACAGTGAGACCCTGTCTCAAAAAATACATGAACAGGGACACAGGTAAACCCTTTCTAGACTTTTGTTGATTAGAGCTGTTATTTCCCCTTTTATCCTGTTGAAAGCATTCTTAAATGATTATGCTAAAATTCAGGAATGACCTTGTGAGGTTCCTCTTTGCTGTCCTCATATTAGTTAACTGTGAGGTTATATCCTTGGTTCTTTTAGTTTCTCTCCATATTTCTCTCATCTGCTGATGCTTAATCTTTCCTGCCAGCCCCTTTTTGTTCAGGATGTATTTCCAGCTACTTCCTCTGTTTCTCTGTAGCATTCGATTTATACTTTTGTAGCAAGCTGTTCTCTGTTGTTTTGATGTCTGCCTTTTCACATCTGATGAATTCTGGGAAGCTTATTTGAACACCTTTTCATCTCTAAGACTAAATGGAATGCTGTAAAGGTGGACACCTAATACATTCTAGTAGGTATTTCCCTCACCATAAGGCAGAGCACTGGAACAGATGAAACAGACTTTCCAAGGAAGGTTAATATAATGCTATAGGGAATAGGAGTATTATATGACTTTTTCATCTCGAAAAGTATCCTAATGAGTATCACAGTAAAAAGGCCAATGGAATGTCTTCTTGGAAACTGATTTCTTTAAGAAGGGAAAAAAATACTGGATAGGATTATGAGCCAGTATAACATACTATCTGTCACTTAGAAGGGTTTATCAAATGGATATAAAGAAATTTAAGAACTCTAGCATGTGAAATTATTTAAGGTGTTTTAGACTGATTTCACACAAGATATATTCTATCTTTGATCAGCCAGTTATTGCCATTCAGATTCTAAATGACATATATTGTATAAGTTCATTATTAATGAAAGTTCCTTAAAATTCAGCCTCACAGGACTAGAGTTACAGCAGTCTTTCATATACCTGTATCTTAATGCTGGAAGACTTAAGACTTGATTGTAAGACTAGAAAAATATGTTGGACTTACAGAGAGTGGGGCAGATGGAGAAGCAGTTACATGGGACTCATGATATTTAAAGACTTCTGGTGATTAATCATTAATTTGACATCCATGTCAAATACTTTACGTACCAAGTTTGTACAATTAAAACCCACAGGTTGCCTGGACACGGTGCCTAACACCTGTAATCCCAGCACTTTGGGAGGCCGAGGCAGGCAGATCACATGAGGTCAGGAGTTCAAGACCAGCTTGGCCAACCTGGTGAAAGCCCGTCCCTACTGAAAATACAAAAATTAGCTGGGTGTGGTGGTGTGTGCCTGTAGTCCCAGCTACTCAGGAGGCTGAGGCATGAGAATTATTTGAACCCAGCAGGCGGAGGCTGCAGTGAGCTAAGATTGTGCCACCACACTCCAGCCTGGGTGACTGAGTGAGACTCTGTCTCAACAACAACAAAAAGGCCCACAGGTTCCATTGACTATTGATTATATAACAGTGACCATGTAATTAAAGTGGGTGACCATGTTCATGCTTTCCCTTAGGAAGAAAGTAGTATTTCTGGGTTTTGTTTACTGGATACCTAATGGAGTCTTTAATAGATGTACCATTAGCAGTCAAATAAGGAGGCTGCGTGCGGTGGCTCACGCCTGTAATCTCAGAACTTTGGGAGACCGAGGCAGGTAAATCACAAAGTCAGGATTCAAGACCAGCCTGGTCAACATGGTGAAACCCCATCTCTACTAAAAATACAAAAATTAGCTGGGCATGGTGGCAGGCGCCTGTAATCCCAGCTACTTGGGAGGCTGAGGCAGAGAATTGCTTGAACCCAGGAGGTAGAGGTTGCAGTAAGCTGAGAACATACCATTGCACTCCATCAGGGTGACAGAGTGAGACTCCGTCTCAAATAAATAAGAAAATAATAGTAATAATAATGGGTTGGGCACGGTGGATGACACCTGTAATCCCAGCACTTCTGGAGGCTGAGGCAGGAGGATCATCTGAGCCCTGGAGTTCAAGGCCAGTCTGGGCAACGTAATGAGACCCTGTGTCTATTTATAAAAATAAAAAAATGAAAATGAAATGGAGTATTTCATGTTATAAAGTGAAAATTGCTAGATGTGGTGGCTTATGCCTGTAATCTCAGCACCTGGGAGGCTGAGGCAGGAGGATCACTTGAGCCCAGGAGTTTGAGACCAGTCTGGGTAACATAGTGAGACCCTGTGTCTATTTACAAAAATTAAAATGAAGGTCAGGCACGGTGGCTCACGCCTGTAATCCCAGCAGTTTGGGAGGCCAAGGCGGGCGGATCACTTGGGATCAGGTTTTCAAAACCAGTCCGGCTAACGTGGTGACTCCATCTCTACTGAAGGTACAGAAAATAGCCAGGCATGGTGGCAGGCACCTGTAGCCCCAGCTACTTGGGAGACTGAGACAGGAGAATCAGTTCAACTTGGGAGGTGGAGGTTGCAGTGAGCCAAGATCTTGCCACTGCACTCTAGCCTG